ATGCAATTGGATAAACTAAATGAGAGAAATAACGCTTGGAGATTATTAATATATTATAAGTTCTAATATATTAATAATATTATTTGATTAGTTTGATCAAGAATTAATTTAGAATTAATTAAGTGATCAAAAGATAACTAATTAAATATATGGGTTGATTAAGTAAATCATCCATATCTTGTATAGTGGGCTAAAAGGCTCCATGGATCATCAAGTTGGGTTCCACCCATAGGATGCTCCATGGATGCTCCATGGGAGTTACAAACCCATGGGTCATGGAAATGAAGAGTCATGACACATTAGGGTTTAACCCTAGATGTGTCAACACTATATAAGTAATATGATCTCCTCCCAAATCGGTTACACATATACACTAAGGAAAAAGAGGGCTTGGCCGATTTTGAAGAGTGTGTATTCTCTCATAAGTTCTTCCAAGAGCATTTGGTGTTGTGTGAAGCATTTGAGGCATCACCACTTGAGGTGCTAGGCTCACAAGGTTTCAAGGAACACAAGCAACAACAAGGTAAGTTATTCTATCTATACTTTATGTTAAAATTGTTCCCCATGTATGCTAGATAGGATATAACCTTGGAATTCAACTTTGCATGACAAATTAGACAAACATAGATCCAAGGTTATTAGGGTTGCATGTACACTTAGGAAGTGTTAGAATGCTCAAAACCCATCAATTTCTACAATGAATGATTCTTCTAACATGCTAGGTTTACGTTTAAGTAAGTGAATAAAGTTTTGGCTCACGAAGCTTCTCTCTGCTCCACTATCGAATAGGATGCATGCATATGAATTATCGTGAAGAAACGTACCAACAACTACTGTAGGATCAGCTATGGATTCCTCATGACCAATAGCTAATACTCGTCCCACTCCGCCGGTATTCGCTGCCTTTGGGCAGTTTCTTTTGTAGTGGCCCACTTCGCCACAACCGTAGCATGCTTGGCCTACACCAGCATTGGGAACTTGAGTGATCGGCTTTACGGGGGACTTCAGAAACGGAAAGTGTGTCCCTTTCTGTTGCAGTTGGAGCACTGCATTTCCCGACAAGGTCCGTGGTGGTGGTAATTGCACTTGGTGCACTTTGGGAGGTTGCCCACATAAGGCTTTATTTGGTAGAGATTTGTAGGAGCTGTAGTAGGTACATTCGCAGCGTTTAATACAACCTGTTGTTGTTTCTTTGAGGATTCTTGGGAAGACACGCCCTTCCCCTTATTCCACCCTCTCTTCTTGTTATTGTTGTTATTGTTGTTTCGTTTTTGTGGTTCTGGTGCAGAAGTTGTTGAGTTTTGATAATTTCCGTGATCAATAAGCGATTGTGCCAGCTCTTTGGCACTTTCAAAAGTGTCAGGTTTTGAAGCTAATACGCTTGACTAAATTTGGGGCGACAGTCCCCAAATGTATCGCTCTATTTTCTTGCTCTCGGGAGCAATCATATCTAGGCACAAGATTGCCAGATCGCAGAATCTGTTGGTATAAGTTGCTATGTCAGTACCAATCATTCCCGGAGTCCAGAGTTCGTGCTCGAGTTTTTGAATCTTTCCTCGTGGATAGTACTCCCTCATCAGCATGATTTTCAATCTCTCTCAGCTTATTGAGTTTGCCACTAGCAGGGTAAGTACCTTAACATGGCCATTCCACCAAGTTAAAGCCATATCAGTAAGTGTGTAAGTTGCAAACTTGACTTTGCTGTGCTTGGGGCATGAGCAGATTTCAAAGACTGATTCCATCCTTTCAATCCACTGCCTTAAAATCATCACACCACCTGTTCCATTAAACATCCAGGGCTTAGAATTCGTAAAGTCTTTATAGGTGTACTCTCGGGGTTGCCCATGACTATCGCCATGGTTGGAAGGATGTATGCCAATTCCTGAACCAATAGTAACAGGGGTATTGATATGTGACATGGCAGCTGCTACAGCTGCGGTGACTGCTGCCTGGAACATGACAGCATCAAATTGAGGAAGTGGAGGTGGTGGTGGTATCGGTGCTTCCCCACCGTTGTTTCGTCTCGGATTTCTACGCGGAGGCATCCTTCAACTAAAGATTAAAAAGACAAGGGTAAGAAGTCCATAGTATAGAAAATGTATGTGTCTAATGAACTAAATTGCTATAGTTCAACAACATATGATAGTATGAGTCTCAAAGATAGAAGAACGAAGGTTATTCGTAAATCCGAATATATGAACAAGCGTATGGTTTTTCCATAATTTTTTTAAAGATTGAACGAGATACTCAACGTAGTAATAATAGTGGTCGAATTATATTAATATTATAGATGATACAACGATCACGAAAATTTGACCCTTAAAAGGGTCTCCAATTACAAGAATTTTCAGAAAGTAAAAACTTTTATCCGACATCCTAACTTATAACAAAATTTGAGGTTTTCGCAAGTACTACTTGCGGCGTGTGTTGCGCTTGGAGCTTGACTCCGCATCTGATTACTTTGACTCCATAAGACGCCTATCGAAGGTGGCTTGTTGTTCCCTCAACTCTGCGAGGGCTGCATTCATTTGTGTTTGGAATGCATCAGCGTGGAGGTGGGTGTCATTCTGCAACATATCCAGACGACGGATATCGGCCGCGTGAACTTGTACTTCCATGTTGACTTCGCGGATTCGATTTGTTTGGACCCCCGATTGATAGGACTGGTTGTCCAGTTTACCTACCATGACCGGAAGTGATCGGTCAGCTGAACCTCCATCCCTAATGTCGTAGAAGTCTTGACACATACCGTAGGGAGAGCGTATCCCTTGTTGTTGGCTCCAATGGGTGAGGTGACTTCCCTAAATGGGAGTTGGTCCCTGGAAGTTCCTCCTAATGGCTGGAGGGTCGACCACTTCTAGTTCCGAGTCTGTACCAGAGTTGTCCCCTTCTTCCAACTCGATAGGTTCTTCGTCCTCTTCCGGATCATCCTCTACCCATCCTCCATTGCCTTGGTTCGGGTAGTAGGGGTCCCCTTACGGGTGAAATCAAGCCATTTGACTATACGAGAATAGGGTTATAAGATTTGAACAAAACTTGAGAACATGTAATACTAATCAATCTATTTTATGCACCAAATACTCCTATAGTATTTAAATTGTACGTTTGATACTAGTGTCCATTTTGGTAAGTTTTGACTTGTTGCTCACTACGATCATTCCTCGATATACGTTAGTCTAATTTCGGATAAATATAGTTGATCAGGCTATATTCGTCCCAAATTTGATTACATATCTCGAGAAATAATCATAGTGTCCAACTCGTCTTAATACTTTTTGTATAGTTCTCATCATGAAAATATGTCAATGTATGCATGTATTTTGTATTTTCATGACCTAAAATAATCTATTTAAACGAAATAAGGATTTTAGGTGTGAAAAACTTTTGTCAGAGACTTTGAGTCCCTAAGCATTTATAGTTTGTATATCTTATGAGGTTTGATATACTTAGTTCACTATAAACATTGCTCTGATACCAATCTGTCACACCCCCAAACCGGAACGGCGGAAATGCTTGGGGGCGGATGACTTCATGTGGTAACGTAACAAATGAATACATAGTAAAGAAAGCAATACAACCATCGTATATAAGCATTTAATGATAGTATTTGTATGAAAATGAAATGGTTTGTTTTTGTTTGTTAGTCTCTAGAAAATCTCATATTTCCTACGGGTATAAGCGTAACCTTAAATCAAGATCAATATATGTTAAAAAGTTGAGGTTTTCCCATCTATGAGTAGTGGTTTGAAGTTCCAATCTTATATCACAATTGGGTTTTTCATGCATAAAATACATGAATTTATGTACATATAAAACCTCCATTATATCTGAAAACCCCTGTAAATCAATGTGTTTTTAATACTCTATGTGAGTTCTATAACCATGCTATTAACAAGGAATGCCTATACACAACGTTCTTCAGGCGTTGGAATGTTCTGAAGTTTCTTACCCCAAATGGTGTACTGTAGCTAACAGTCAGGGTGCGGGGTTGTCAATCACGTATAAATCTATACACAAACACCATGCTCCCCCTCCAAGGGATTCTAATATATAATACAGGACTTGAAATGTGTACTTGAGCGTACGTGAAGTTTAATGTCTCACAAAACTTAGTATAAAACAGATTTACGTGTGGAAATGTTCGTTTGTTATTGTATATGAAAGTAGCTTCTTAAAATAGTATTTCCATGTATGTAAAAGTTCATAGTATTCTCGTAAAACTATACCTATTATAGTTTCCTAAAAGTGTGTTTCGTTTGTATAATAAACCCTTATTGAAAATGCTCACTTGTTATGAAAAGTATAGTTTTTGTAGTGCCAAAACCGACACACATAAATATAGTATAAGCAGAGTGTCAGATTTACATAAATACATAAATCATTTCTTATTTCAAAAGATAAAATGTTGTCATGGTATAATTTTCATATGAAAGTTTCCCTATAATAGTTATAAATCACACATGATTCCGTTGATAAAACGCGTATAGTGAAACTTTATATAACACACAATAATAATCAAGTGTTTTACTTGTATTCCCCCTCCCCCCTTAAAAGCATATAAAAGTACTCATAAAACATTTAAAAGTGTGAAGTATAGGGGTATGAACTCACTTGAAAGATCGGAGAAGGCAGGATGAAAACCAGACAAAATTTCGACTCGAGAAAGCGGATTTTCTCGGGATTCTCAGGAATCTCCGGAGCACAAACGACCCTCGGGTTGTCGTTTCCTATGAGCAGTATGTCATAAACATACAAAACGAGGAAGCTAACTATACTCCCACTGACCTTGACATATACACATGATTCATCTTCGCTTCTTACAAATCCAAACTCTTTAACTTTCTCATCGAAGCAAAGATCCATCTGCGAGATGCTTGCTTAAGACCATAAATGGACTTCTCAAGCTTGCACACTCTATTGGGATGCTTCATATCGACAAAACCCTCT